CTACAAACCGACCAATCTACAAAGCATCCCTGGCTACCTGGGCCCGCGCGCAGGGCCGGGTCTTTCCCCCCCTGCCCAGGTGACCAGAGCATCGCCTCCCAGGCGCCAGGCTTTTGTCTGCAGACAAGGTGGGAGATCCCCGCTGTGGGGGATTCAACAGCAGCCTCTCAGGCTGGCTGAGACAGGTCTCTGGAGAGGGGCACCGACGGGGGCATTTCTGCCACAGACTCCACCCATGACTGGACCACGGGTATAGATGGCTATACCCTGTACAGGAGGGATCGAGTAGACAAAAGAGGCAGGGGTGTAGCTCTTTATGTCAAGGAAAGCTACGCGTCCCTGCAAGCTGATGTTGGTGACCAGGGCAGATGACTGGAGACCCTCTGGGTTAAAATCCATGGGGAGCACGGCACAGGAGACACAATGGTGGGAGTCTATTACAGACCTCCCACCCAAAGTCAAGAGCTTGACCAGGATTTTGCCCAGGAACTGACTGAGGCCGCATGCCACGGGACCATGGTTGTCATGGGTGACATTAACTACCCAAACATCTCGTGGGAAGATCACTCAGCAAAATCCGAGCGGTCACAAAGCTTCCTATCCTGCATGGATGACCTCTACATGGCTCAATAAGTCTACGGGCCAACAAGACGTAAAAGGCTGCTCGACCTGGTACTGGCTACTGGGAATGACCTAATCGGTGACCTAGTGGTCAATGGGAAGCTGGGTGACAGCGACCATGAGCTGATCACCTTCACCATCCACCATAAAGCTGACAAGTCAGTCAGCAATACAGAAGTCCTTGACTTCAGGAAAGCCAACTTTGACAAGCTCAGGAGGCTTGTCAGTGAGGCCCTAAAGGACCACGACCCCAGGGGGAGGGGAGTTCAGGAAGAGTGGTTGCTCCTCAAGGGAGCGATCCTCCATGCACAAGCTAATTCTATTTCATCTCAGAGGAAAGGCGGCAAGAGGCCACAGCAGCCCCCCTGGCTCTCCAGGGATCTAGCAGACCTCCTGAGGCTAAAAAGAAAGGCCTAAAAAGGATGGAGGATGGGAGTCACCTCCAAGGAGGAATATTCTGCACTGGTCTGGTCTGGTCCTGTGGGGAGCAAACCAGGAAAGTCAAGGCTGCAACTGAACTCCAACTGGCTTCAAGCATCAAGGACAATAAAAAGTCCTTTTTCAGATAAGTGGGGAGCAGGAAGAAAAGCAAGGGAAACATTGGGCCCCTGTTGAACCAGATGGGACAACTGACAACTGATGCCCAGGAAAAAGCCAACCTGTTAAATGGGTACTTTGCGTTGGTCTTTCATCAGTCCCATGGGATGCCCATGCCCACTGTGGGACAGGGAGGTCTGGGTGAGGGAGATCCCCTGCCCTCTATCAATGCTGACCTCGTGAAGGAACACCTTGAGAGACTGGACACCTTCAAGTCAGCTGGCCCTGACAATCTTCACCCCAGGGTACTCAAGGAGCTGGCGAGCATCATAGCCTAGCCCCTGGCACTGATCTTTGAAAAATCCTGGAGCTCTGGTGTAGTGCCCAAAGGCTAGAAGAAGGACAATGTGGTGCCTATCTTCAAGAAAGGGAGGAAAGTGGATCCAGCAAACTATAGGCCCATCAGCCTGACCTCTATCCTTGGGAAGGTCTTAGTAAAGTTTATTAAAGAGGCCATCCTTAATGGACTGGCCAATGCCCACATCCTGAGGGATAGCCAGCACGGGTTTGTTGTGGCTATCTCTTAGCAAAACTGGCCAATTGTGGCCTTGGTCTACCACGATCCACTGGCTGGGAATTGGCTCTGGGATTGGACCCATAGGGTAGTAATTGATGGAAGTCAATCGTCGTGGTGCCCTGTGACCAGTGGGGTCCCCCAAGGCTCTGTCCTTGAACCCATACTGTTCAACATCTTCATTAATGATGTGTGTGGCAGGCCAGTTGGGGGCGCTCCTGATTTGAGCCACCCACCTCACTGCGCTGTCCAGGGGTGCCTCCCTGGGGTGCCTCCCATCCGGCCAACCCCTTCCCTGGAGCACACCCGCTAGCCTGGGGTTCCCGCTGCCACCATCCCAGGCTCTGGACTCACTTCTGGCTCTGCGCACCTTGGAAAACACAGGCCTGATCGTCCAATGGGTGCTAGACCCAATACAAGCACTTGGGGCACTTCCCCAAGTCAGGGGCTTAATAGGAAAGTCTCCCTTAGTCCACAGACCTAAGGGGCCTCCTCGGCATAATTTAGACCCACCCCTCAATAAGTCTCCCACATCGGTCACAAAGAGAACTTTATTGATTACAGGGGTAGGGCGGAAACAGTGTAAAGGGTAGAGCAATGTCATAGGAATATCAGAGGTATATCAGAGGAATCCCATAGAGCAAACCAGCATGGCTGAGGTAGCCTTTTGATCTCGCATCTGAGTTACTGTAAGCTAAATATCTAGTCGGATTTTGAGTAGCTTACTCACACGCATCGTCCAGAGGTGGTTGGAGTTTCCTCTGGAGGCAGGGCACTCTTGGAGCATACAGTGATGAGGAGAGAGTCTGTTTCAGATGGTGAAGCTACTCTCCCAGTTTCAGACTCACCTGGATGACCGCATGGCTAATGGCTGCCTTCTTCCTGGACCGGGCCTTTAAATAACCTTTCTGACCTCAGCAGCCCGGTCCAATCGAAGCTGCCAGTGCTGGCCACTAGCCAACCAATTTAAAAAGCATCACTGGCTACCTGGGCCGGTGAGTGGGGCTTTCCCCCCAGGTGACCAGAGAATCCACCTCTGAGGCACCAGGCTTTTGTCATGTAGGCAGGGAGGAAGATCCCCGTCCCTGAGGAATTCAACACCAGCCTCTCACGCTGGCAGACAGATTTCTGGACAGGGACACAGACAGTGGCATTTCTGCCACTATGTGGACACTGGAGTCAGAAGCGGACTGGCCAAGTTCGCCGATGACACCAAACTTTGGGGTAAAGCATCCACACCAGAAGATAGTGGGGCCATCCAAGCTGACCTGGACAGGCTCAGCAAATGGGCAGATGAGAACCTGATGGTGTTTAACACTGAAAAATGCAAGGTTCTCCACCTTGGGAGGAAAAACCTGCAGCATCCTTATAGGCTCGGCAGTGCTACACTGGAAAGTGCTAAAGAAGAAAGAGACTTGGGGGTCATCATTGACCACAAGATGAACATGAGCCTTCAGTGTGATGCTGCGGCTAGTAAAGCGAGCAAAACGCTGGCTTGCATCCATAGATGCTTCTCAAGCAAATCCCTGGACATCATTCTCCCCCTGTACTCGGCCTTGGTGAGGCCACAGCTGGAGTACTGCGTCCAGTTTTGGGCTCCACAATTCAAAAATGCTGTGGAGATGCTTGAGAGAGTCCAGAGAAGAGCCACGCGCATGATCAGAGGTCAGAAAAACAGACCTTATGATGACAGGCTGGGAGCCCTGGGGCTCTTTAGCCTGGAAAAGCGCAGGCTCAGGGGTGATCTGATGGCCACCTACAAGTTTATCAGGGGTGATCACCAGTACCTGGGGGAACATTTGTTCACCAGAGCGCCCCAAGGGATGATGAGGTTGAATGGTTATAAACTACTACAAGACTGTTTCAGGCTGGACATAAGGAAGAATTTCTTTACTGTCCAAGCTCCCAAGGTCTGGAACAGCCTGCCACCGGAGGTGGTTGAAACACCTACATTGAATACCTTCAAGAGAAAATTGGATGCTTATCTTGCTGGGATCCTATGACCCCAGCTGACTTCCTGCCCTTCGGGTGGGGGGCTGGACTCGATGATCTTCTGAGGTGCCTTCCAGCCCTGATGTCTATGAAATCTATGACATCTATGAAATCTAGCAGCTCCAATCCTGTCTTCCTGCCAGAGACTCCATGTCCAGAGGAGCAGGCTTCATCCTGGTCCCTGCACTCCCCCATGCCCCAGCAGGTGGGTTCAGCTTGTGGCTCTGCCTGACTGTTATGCGTGTTTGGCACACCTGTCACTTTAAGAGAAGGAGCTGCTCCAGAAGCAGTCTGCAGGTCTGGAAGGGGCCAATTAGGGAGTCACGTGACCGCAAGGGGTGGGGCTTGAGACATATAAACCCAGGCCCTGAGCTGGTCTGGCAGTCTAGCCCTGAGAGCTGCAGGAAGTGGAGATCCTGAGCTGCAGGTCCATAGCTAGGCTCCTGCTACAGCATCTGGGTTGGGGCAAGCACTGGTGGTTTGTTCAGGGACTAAAGGGAGGTCAGGAGGTCCCAGTTGGGCCAGAGAAAGGAAGAGGGGCCAGAGAAACAGAGAACCTGGGGCACGGAGGGAGAGAACCTGAGCCCAGGAGGAGCTGAGTGGAGAGGGCCTGGGGCCTGAAGGCCAGCACAGATGGAGGTGGAAGGGCCCAGAGCAGGGTGAGTGTGAGCAAGGCAGGGAGTGAGGCCAGAGCCTGATAAAAGGGGAGAGAGTGGGGCCAGACAGCACTGAGCCCATAGAGAGATGGAGACTGGAGCCAGGGGGCCCAGAGCCCACAGAGGGAAGTGTGTCATCAGGATTAGAGAGCCCACAGGTCTGGATCCCAAGAGCATTGAGTGTGAACTGGGCCAGGGAGCCCAAAGATATCACTGGCCTAGAAGTGGGGCCAGGGCCCAGAGAGGCACTAAAGGCCAAGGATGGCCTCAGCTGGAGACTGGGGGGGCCAGAGGAGGCCAGGAGTCTCACCTGGCTGATGGGTGGGGCAGGGCCCAAAGAGAGAGGCAAAGACCAGGGTCACAGCTGGAGACCAGGGGCCCAAAGAGCCCATAGCAGAAGAGAGAGGGGGACTGGGGCTGGCAGCCCATAGCCCAGGAGAAGTGTGTGACAACAGGAAGGAGTATCATCTGTACAGCACGGCCATGGTTTAAAGGGATGTTTGGAGGGATGTATGCAATTAGCCTGTAAGACAATGGCCATGGACCCCTGTGCTCAAGAGAGCAAGGTCAGGCTTGGGAAAACCTGGGGCAGCCTCCCTTTGTCTAGGAGCTGAAGACACCACCGTGCAGTAGGCGAGGGAAGGGGGGACTGCCCAAAGGCAGACGGATGAGGGCTGAAGGCGCTCCAGGGCATTACAGCCACCCTGGGAGCAGACCCCTTTACATCAGCTCACGGGGAAGGCCAGCAGCTCCAATTCCATTGGACGACTGGACCCGCGTGTCCCTGGTGGTAAGTCACTGGCTCGTTACACAGATTCACGGAAGTTTGGGGCTGGAAGAGACCTGGTGAGATCATTGGGTCCAGAGCCCCTGCTCTGGGCAGGAAAGACCGCTGGGGTCAAATAACACAGCAGGGTGTGAGTCCAGTCTCCCTTTGAAGATCTCTGCGGGAGGTGCCTGCAGCACCACCGCTGGGAGTCTCTACTAGAGTCTAGCCACACGAACCATAAAGAAGTGTTTCCTTATATCCAGGCTGAAATCTTCTAGGTGCTTATGACTGTTGCTTCTGGTTTTCCCCTGGGGCACTTTGGTGAATAATTGTTCTCCTAGTCCCTGTTCCTCTCCCCATATATATTTGCAAGCTTCCACCAATTCCCCCTGAAGTCTTCTCTTTTCTGGGCTCAACAGTCCCATAGCTGTCAGCCTTTCCTTGTATAGTTTGCACTCATGCCTCTAATCATATGAGTGGCTTTTCTCTGGACTCTGTCAAGTTTCTCCACATCCTTCCTGAAGTGCAGCGCCCAGAACTGGACACAGTACTCCAACTACGGCCTCATCAACGCTGCAATGAGCAGGAGAACAACTTCTTTAGTTTTGCTTGAGATGCAATGGTTGATGCATCCAGTGTATTGTTTCTTCTGCTAACTGTAGCATCACACTGGTGGCTCGTATTCATGTTTCAGTTATTTATGACCCCCATGTACTTTTGGACATAGTGCTAGCTAGCACAGCACCACCACACCTCTAAATTTATTGTGGGTTTTTCCTCTCCAGATGGAGCATGTTACATTTCTCAGTTTTGAACGGCATCTGGTTCTGGCCCGCCCATCTAACTAATGTGTACAGGTCTGCCTGGATTATCAGCCAACCCTGATGCATGGCTGCACTTCTCCACAGATTAGTATCATTGGCGAACTTTGTCATTTGTCTTCTAGGTCCATCAGAGCCCTCAGGAGTCTCCAACAATTGAGAGAGGAGGCAGCCGAAGACAGAGGAATGCGGGGTGAGGCCAGGGTGGTGACACCCGGGGGCTGCAGCAAGTCATGGGCATGTCTCCTCTGGTCATCCCCAGGCAGGCAGGGGAAGGCACCCAAAGGCCCATGGATAACGTGGGTTCCCATCATGCCTGAGTCACACACAGTGAGGTGTCAGGGCACACTCCTGACCGCAGACCAACTCCCTCAGCCCCGATCCCTTTTCCCATCCCAAGACCCCACGTCCCAGGAGGAGGCTTCAGCCTGGCACCTGCACTCCCCCACTGTGCTCTGGCAGATCAGTGCAGCCTACAGCCCTGCCTGGCTCATGGGGAAGCCCAGAGGCTCTGGGTTTTCCAGACAAATGGACCTCAGGCCCTGGATGACAAGTCACAGCCTCATTCCTCTTCTTTTCTAGGCCATTCAGAGTCCACCAGAGGCTCAAAGAGCTGAGGAGGGAGGTGTGGGCTGAGGACAGAGGCAGGGTTGGATCTGGCACCCACCTGGGAAACACCGCAGCTGGGCTGTGCTGGGCAGGGGATCAGGCCGGGGCTGGCGCACAAGGCCTAGAGTCTTGGCTGTCCTTGGGTCATCCCCAGGTCTCCAGTTGGGGTGGCTGCTCCTACTGTCCTTCCTCCAGCCATGGTCTGTGCAGTGGGGCTGGGCAGGGAGCCCAGGCCTGGGATGGCTTTTTCTTCCTCTCTGTATACAATAAAGGTGGCAGTGCTGATGTTCACTGGCTCTGGTCCACCTCCTTCCCCAGCATGGCCCATTTGGGTCTCCTGTTCCCCTCTTTGCTGGATACTGCACATTGTGACCAAGTGGAGAGCCAAGTCTCCTAGACGTTTCTTCCTTTCACAGCTGCTGGTCCCTTGGCAGCCCTCCCCAATACCCCCAGGAAGGCTGGCACTCGGTGCCATACTGGCAGCTCCCTACATGTCCCCAGCCAGGGCAGGGCTGAGGCAGGAGGTCATGAGTGCGAGGCAGAAGCCGGGTCACACACTGCTTGGCCCCACGTGGGCATGGACACCCTTGTGATGTACTCAGTCAATCCAAAATTGAGGCTGCTGCCCATACGCAGCCCTCCTCCCTCCTGCACTCCTTCCCTGGGGATGCACATGGCTGAAGCTGGGGCAGACGGGCACTGCCAGGTGATGGTGCCAGGGCCCGTGGGAGAGATGAGCCATGGCATGCAGACACCAGCCAGGAGCCACCGCCCTTGAGGAAAGCAACGGGGAACACCCCGGGGATGGACATAGGACATGGGATGGGAGGCAGCCGTCAGCCCTGTTGGGATGTGCCTCAGCCCCCAGGACCTTTGTCTCATGGTAGAGGGTAGCGTGGGCCTGGCCCCAGGGCTGGAGACTGCCCCTGATCTGTGACTTCATGTTTCACTGTGTGTGGGGAGAGCTGTCCCCAGGGGAGACAAGAGTTTTGTCCCTTGGTGCAAGTGCAGCTGCCTGGGTCCAAGGAGAAGGAGTGCAGCTTTGAGAGTCCTATGGGGGAGAAGAAATGGTCCTGGGGGTCAGAGCAGTGCCAGAGGGAACCAGAGGGCACCGTGAAGATGAGCTGATCTGGAACAGTCTGCTGTGTGACTGGGGATGCGGGCGGCACTCTGATCGCTCCTCTATAGGGTGCCTGCTGTCCTTGCTGAGCAGTGGGGGGATGCAGGGGTTGGAGGTGCCAGGGCTTGGGCTTTCCACTGCTGTCCATGGGTTGGTGCATCCCGTGTTGCAGGGTGTGGGCCACTTGCAAGTGCTGCTGCAGTGCCTAACTCTAGAGCCCTGCCTGTGCCTTCACCCTCTGGCACCTCCCCTGGACAGCAGTCTCTCCTGCCACACCATGGTCTTGAAATGGGTAGGGGAGGCTTCCCGCAGGGCAAGGGCTTGCTTTGGAAGAGATGGCCCCTGTTTCTGCAAGGTTTCCCCCTTGGCCTTGGCCCACAGGAGCTCTCCAGCCCGGGCCCAGCTCTAGTCACTCCTGTGATATCAGGTACTAGCACCTCTAGTGCCACACAGCGCAATCTCAAGCTTGGGGTGTTCCCCCAGTCACCCACTTTCAGTGGCCTCCTCCACCCCTACAGCCACAACCCGGCCCTCTGGGGGAGGGAATATGAAACCCCAAAACTGTGAAGACTGTCCTGGTTCAAGGGCCTGTCCCACACAGGGTTCAGCACACCCCTTGGAGCTGGGCTGCACAGATAGAAACAGGAGCCAAACCAGAAAGCACCTGGGGGGTTGCACTTGCTTGTGTGCAGGCTCCCAGCTTCCCGTTCCTCGGGGACGCCCCCTGATCCCCTCTGCAGTCTGGGCTCTGGTCCTCACACCTCTCACTCAAGGGTCTGTCCCCATGGCTTCCACAGCCCCCTGCCTCTCCGCCCCAGGCACGAGCTTATGCAGGGCTCTGGGACCCAACTCCTCCACTGTCCCTCCCTGGCCATCAGGCTCTGCCTGCACCTGGACCCAGCAGGCGTCTTGCTGCAGGTCCCTGCTGCCTGTGGGTTTGGCTCGGGGGTCACCACTGGAGCACAAGCAGGGAGAGGGGATGGAGGGGAAGTAGAAGGAGGCAAGAGGAAAGGGAGAAGGGCTGTCTACCAGGGGAACAAAACACCGATGAGCACACAACAAGATAGAGGAGGGAATAGTGTAGAGGGCTGGGTGGGGGTGGGGGAGCCAGGCCCCCTTCCCATTGTAGTAATGCAATATGGGACCCATTACAGAAGGGAATATACAAAAGACTTACGTAAGATTTGAATCCAGGACATCCACTCCTCA